TGTTGCAGTTGTGGTACAGTCGAGTGATGTTTTCGAAATCCGGTGTTGATTTTATTAAAACAGTGTAAAAATATCACAGCTGTGTGAGTAGTTTGGAGTTCATGTCACATGCGTGCTAATCGTTTTAAAGCGACTGAGAGATCGTGGAGGAGATTCATAACCATTTCACTGTGAGCAGCTCATCGTCTGGGAGTGAGGAAAGGACTGCAGTCTTGTTACTCCTGGATACGTGCTGGTTTTGCATCAAAAGAGCTCCACCTAGCGCGCCATCTGTGTACTGAAAATCCCAGCTGGTAAAACTAGAGAATTGTTTCCGGTGATTCATTGTTGATGTGTTTGAGATGTTGCGATTTACATTATTAGATCATGTAAGTGACAAAAGAAGAGAACAAAACACAAGAGTGTGGGAATAATACATATTTGCTTTCCTGCAGAGAGAACCATTTATGGTTAATTCGACATTTTCTTTTTCTGTGAATCATATTTATAGATTTGTGCTTTCAGATTTAAAGGTAAGCAGTAGTGAATTTCGATTTCCAAATAGAAACATAACTCTGACACCATCAAGTGAAGATCTGATGCATGTTGATCTTGTAACTGTAGAGAAATGAGCCTTTACTGTGGGAGGGCTACATTTAACACCCTCTTGACAAATGTCTTACCCTGTGAGCCAAGGAGGGCTTCATATACCTATTTTATGTGTTGTGTATTGTTTTTATATGTTTATTGTTACTCATTTTATTTTGCTATGTGTGTCTTGTCACTGTCTGTGCACTGGATGCTTCTGTTCAAATTCCTTGTGTTTAAGCATGCTTGCAATAAAGCTGATTAAAATCATGGTACTCACCCAAAAACATAGTATAGTCTCCTTTACACCATATTTACAACAGTAAGATCATAGTTAAAGGAATATTCTGGTTTTAAGTTGAACCCAATCAACAGCAAACTGCTTTGCTAAGAAACATGTGTTTATTTGTGAATGTTTATAAATAAGTATTGTTAAAAGAAGCCAAAAATAGGTAAATAGATGATAATAGTCCGATCTAAAAACAAGAAAGAAAGAAAAAGCATTGAGTGTTTGAACTTGGGGAAATAAAAAAAAAATCAAGGTGGAAAAAATTGTTTTAGTGCCTTCTTGAGCCTTTCAAAAAACAACAACAAAAATGTACCTCTTCCTTTTTTGTTGTTTTTAATTTTTTTTATGTCTTACAAAAAAATATTTTTCTTCCAAAAACAACTTTTCTCTTCATTTTTTTTTTCTCCTCAAGAGGCACCGAAATTAATACATAAATACAATTAGGATACACTACCAAAACCGGCCAGCAGGTGCCACTATCAGTATATATACTGGCTACATTTGTTTACAAGCTTTTCTGTTTATGTGCTACTTTGTTGATTTATGTTTTTATAATACATTAACAAAAATGTGCTGATCTTTATTTAAAAAAAGAGGCATTATAATATTAGAGTCAGCACAAAATCCCACAGCTTAATGAATATACCTCAGGTTTTAGGTTTCATATGACATTCATTTTTTGAGGAGTAACAACAGGAGTTTTCACTGATTGTCTTTATGACTTCCTGTTGTTCTTATATAATAGAGTCCGGCGTCTCTGATCCGAGGACAGCCGCGAGTGAATCCTGCGACATGAAGAGAACCGCTGCGGCGCCCTGCACACACACACACACACACACACACACTCTCTCTCTCTCTTTAATTTTTGATTAGTAATATGCATTGCTAAGAACTTCATTTGGACAACTTTAAAGATGATTTTCTCAATATTTTGATTTTTTTGCACCCTCAGATTCCAGATTTTCAAATAGTTGTCTCGGCCAAATATTGTCCTATCCTAACAAACCATAAATCTCAATTTCGAAATATTTACCCTTATGACTGGTTTTGTGGTCATGGGTCAGTTCACAAAACACACCACAGAGACTACATACGAAAAACAGTAGAGTTATGAGTGAATTCCCCATCCCACTGCACCCAGAGCGCTGTATCTCGGCAGTCCAGTGTAGCAGAAGTGAGATGTTCGCCTCTTTTTCTGACCGTCTTGTTGCTTGCATTTATTAATCACTTGTGTGTACTTATATGAGTATCATTCAAAATAAAAAATAAAAGGATGCAAGTTATTAACTTTTTGAATTTCACATTGAAAAAATCTAGTGTTTAATCATGTCTAAATATTTATTCAAATGCAAAACCTAAAAATAAGTACGCTTGTATGACCTGCAATACTCTTTTGAGAAACTAGACTAGTAGATAGATTTATTAAAGAGCCATACAGGTACCTAATGGTACCTACCCAACGACAAAATGACTCTAATTTGCCTCTTTGCATTGCAATTTAAAACCCATGTTTTAGGAGAATTTACATGCGCGACATGCCCGAAAAAGCCTGGATAACAATTGGCTTACACAGCTGTCAATCAAACTCATCAAGAATTATGCAAAAACACATTTTATTTGATTTTAGTTATTTGAGATGTTATAATAGTTCTCTAATTGTGTTGAAATAGATTAAACAATAGTTATTCAAGAAATATTATGTGTGTATAATAAACTGGGGGGGCCTTTCATCAGAGTGGACAGGCCTGTCCGCTGCCTACGCCCCTGCCTTATAGTATTTGTTTATGTGTGTGAGGTTGTGTCTGTTTTCCCTGTGTGTGTGTGTGTGTGTGTGTGTGTGTGTGTGTGTGTCTGTGTCTGTGTCTGTGTCTGTCTGTGTCTGTGTCTGTGTCTGTCTGTGTCTGTGTCTGTGTCTGTCTGTGTCTGTGTCTGTGTCTGTCTGTGTCTGTGTCTGTGTCTGTCTGTGTCTGTGTCTGTGTCTGTCTGTGTCTGTGTCTGTGTCTGTCTGTGTCTGTGTCTGTGTCTGTCTGTGTCTGTGTCTGTGTCTGTCTGTGTCTGTGTCTGTGTCTGTCTGTGTCTGTGTCTGTGTCTGTCTGTGTCTGTGTCTGTGTCTGTCTGTGTCTGTGTCTGTGTCTGTCTGTGTCTGTGTCTGTGTCTGTCTGTGTCTGTGTCTGTGTCTGTCTGTGTCTGTGTCTGTGTCTGTCTGTGTCTGTGTCTGTGTCTGTCTGTGTCTGTGTCTGTGTCTGTCTGTGTCTGTGTCTGTGTCTGTCTGTGTCTGTGTCTGTGTCTGTCTGTGTCTGTGTCTGTGTCTGTCTGTGTCTGTGTCTGTGTCTGTCTGTGTCTGTGTCTGTGTCTGTCTGTGTCTGTGTCTGTGTCTGTCTGTGTCTGTGTCTGTGTCTGTCTGTGTCTGTGTCTGTGTCTGTCTGTGTCTGTGTCTGTGTCTGTCTGTGTCTGTGTCTGTGTCTGTGTCTGTGTCTGTGTCTGTGTGTGTGTGTGTGTGTGTGAAAATAAAATATTTATTTTTACGTTTCCCTCATGGATCAATAAAGACGGTTTATAAAATGAACCCCCCTAAAGATTAATCAAAAGAAAGTGTTGGTTTTCTGCTGGTTTTGCGGAGGATGGAAGCTTTTATAGCGTCACTGTGGCTTGTCCTCGGGTTCTTCTTTAATTATCATAAAAGCAGATGGAGCGAGAGCACAGACGTGATGTGGTCAGTGATGGGAATCCCTCAAACGCTCCTCTGAAGCCAGATGTTCTCCACTCTAACACTGGAGATCCGTGATGAGAAGCCGCTGTGACGTCTGGAGGGGCTGTTCTCCTGTAAGGTCACCGGAGCTCATCAGTATAATGTCTACAGAGTGATAAAAGGAGTGTGGAGCAGCTCTGATCATAAGATTACAAGTATTTGAGTTCATATCGAGATCTCTGAATGTTGTTTCTTGGCAAATCCGAGCAGTCGATGCCATTGTTGAGATCTTCTCTGAATCTCATGTGTGATCACTGCAGGAGAAACATCTGAGAAGCATTTCATCTTATCCTCTTCATTTAATTGCATGCAGTCTGAGATATCAAAGAGATCTTACAGGAAGTGCTTGTGGCCTGTTGTGAGGATTGCAGCCACATGTTTACAGTGAGCTAATTCACTCTTTTATTTATATTGTATCATTTTATATTTTTATTTCAGTTTTAGACATTTTAGTTGCTAAAACTAAAACAGAAATTAAATAAAGCTACAGTAAATACAAATATTTAACTAATTAAAATGAAAAAAAGCACACAACAACAAACTTACTAATACTTAAACTATTAAAAGTGTTTTTGGTCATTGAAATTAAGCTCAAATTAAATATGAATATTACATTGAAAACGTAACCTTAAAAACAACTGAAATGAGTTGAAGCACTAAAATCACTAAAACTTAAATAAAATAAAGGTATATTGAAATATAGTAGTCAGCATTTGAAATGGATCAAAAAAGTTCATTAAAGTTGTCCTAAGACAATAACGCTTTTTGGTTTAGGTTTTAGGACAACTTTGATGAAATGTTTTGATCCACTTCAAATGTTGACTAGTGTATTTAAATGAAGAGTGAATGAATGACAAAAGCACAAAACAAAACACATAAAAATCATTTTGGTGATTGAAATAAAGCTAAAATGAAAAATAGGCCTAAATATTACACGAAAAATTTGCTGATATTGTCATGCAAGAAAAATTTCAGACTCGTCTGACAATAAAGTGCTATATCATATCATTATCATATCATAAACTAATTGCTAAAATTAATTAACTAAAAATTAACCTTTAAAAACTGAAATAAATAAATAAATAAATATAATTTCTGGTATCGAAATTAAACTAAAATGAAATACAAACATTAGATGAAAAACATATTTTGCCTTAGCAGCTAACTAAAATAAAATAAAGTGATGTAAAAATAATGAAGATTATAAATAGAAATAGCAAATAAGGCACAGGAATGGGGCTGGGTATTGTTCCTAAATCATTTTGGGCTCATTGATCATAAACACATTTTGTTGTGTATTTGTGAGTGAGATGAGAGATGCTTTGGGACAGTAGGACTATAGTTTCCTCTCTCTCTCTCTCTCACTAATGTTGAGGGAATAATGCGGTCAGAGAGAGAGAGCTGCTCCACTCCAGCACACACAGCGCAGATCCGCTCTCTCTTCGGAGACACAGTGTCCCGCAGCTTGAAGAGTTTCTCCGCGCTTTAATGAGGCTCCGTGGCTCCGCGGAGCGGCGGAGGGAGACGGGGGAGCCGGGGGAGGAGGCGCGGGGAGGCCGCGGAGGGGCTCCGGAGGCACCGAGAGAGCGAGAGATGGCGGCGGGAGGAATCACCACGCTCCCCGCTTTACCGGAGGACGGCGCCAGCGGAGGCTTTCCTCCGGTGAACTTCAAGGAGCCCAAGCGGCTTTACTGCAAGAACGGCGGCTTCTTCCTCCGGATTCATCCCGACGGTCGAGTGGACGGCATCCGCGAGAAGAGCGACCCACGCAGTGAGTGCATTTGTGCTGTTCTTCTTCCGTGGAAAAACAGATCCAGAGCGTACAAAGACTCTTTATGCGGCACAGATGAAAACCAGGCCCTGATGATGATGGTGATGAGGATGATGCCAGATTTCCAGGTCCACCTTCAGTCTCGGAGTTCTTGCTTGTTTTCAGAAAGCGTCTCTAATGTTCTCAGAGCGTTTCGGTTCTCTCAAAGTTATGAACTGACGTTCTTCCAGTAGCGTTCATTCAGAGCGATCTGGTCTTTTTTAACCTTATAATGCGTTCAAATTCTGAATACTGTTTTCACATGCAGGGTCTGTTTGGGGCCAGTCGTTACTTAGTATTTTTAACCCGATCTCATGAAAGTGCGTATCAATAGCACGAGTTAACTTTTCGATTTGGCGTACTATTTATACGCAGAAATTGACTCTGGCGTGCATATGATACGCAATGGGTAGGATTAGGGGTGTGGGGTAGATGCGGTTCATATGCACGCGAAAATTGCGTATTATATGCACGCCAACAAATTGCGTATCATATGCACGCGAAAACTGTATTATAAGCACTTCAAACACGTGCGTATCATATGCACGCCAGTTTCTGCATATCAATAGCACGATTTTCTGTTTGTATTTGGCGTACTATTTATATGCATTTTCATGAGACGGGCTCAAAAAATATTCTTGTATTCTCGTATAACATTATGTTTGAACCACTGATGTCACATGGACTATTTTAACGATGTCCTTACTATGTTTCTGGACCTTGAACCTGGTAGTTCCGTTGCTGTCATGGCGTACTATTTATACGCATTTTCATGAGACCGGGCTCATTTTTCAGCTAAAACCATATTGTAGCTGATCAGAAACTTCTCATTAATGAGTGGATGTGGAAAAATGCAAAGTTTTCATTGGTGCCTCTGCACTTATGCCTTATTTAGTCATTACAAAGAAAAAAAAAATCTTTGAAATTTCAATTAAATACAAATACAATTACACACACACACAAAAAAAACAAACAAACAAAAAAACAATATATATATATATATATTCAATATTGATGAGAAGTTTTATTTAAATATCATTGTATGAAATGTACAGTATTAGAACATAGAATTTGAGAATGACCAGTATCAGCCACATTGGAATGAATGGAGTTTAATTAAATTCCTGTGTATTTATCACTCGTGATTGCTCAAAAACAGTCCAAACTAACATCAAAACAACGTCGCTCTGAAAGGTTTTCAAACAGAATAGATTAATTTTACTTGCATAAACTTTCACTTTCAGATGAAAAAAGTGATCAGTTTTTCTTACTGCAATGGTTCGTTAGTAGGTGCATGGTTATCAACAAAATTCAGTCCCAAAAGTGTGTGAGATATGGAGAAAAGGTGAGAGAAAGGTGAAATATATTTTACTAAGTGTGTTTCATATACTTGGGTCCCAAATTATCTGAAAGCAAAACATGTGATTTTTTTCTAAGGTTATGTCTCTTAAAAAAATTAATGAAGACACATAGTTCAGGAGTTCACGGACTTTAATTGTGTTCAGTTTGTGAAAAGTATTACATCATGGATTTTTTTCAACATATTAAAACTGTTATAAAGACTGGTGAGTGTGTGTACATGAAGAGTAAATGTTCTCCTTATTCCAAGTTCAGTTTAGTCGGAATAGAAACTGAAACAATGATCTCTTTAGTTTAGACTCATGGTTAAGGTTTAAAAATCCTGTTGTTAAGGGCAACCATTGATTGACAGTTGACAAAACCCGCCCACCTCACGCTTCATTTATTCTGAGCTGAACCTCTGTGATTGTCACTCTTTACATAATTTCTGAGGGTAATCAACAAGATTTGTTACTGTTGAAACCTTTACTGGTAAGTGGTAACCATTTACAATAATGCATTAACTAACAGTGAGTAATGCATTTGTTACAGTATTTATACATTTTTGTTAGCTTTGATAAAAAAAACAACGGTTCGCTGTTTTTCATGTCAGCTCAGGTCCAATTAATAATATGAACAGATGCAACTTCTGATTTTAAATATGTGTTGGTAATGTTGAACATTAACTAAGACGCTTCAGAAGTATGCTTCATAGTTAGTTCAGTTTAATTAATGTTAGTGTTAATTAATTAGTTTATTGACTCACTCTGGAATGCTTTAACTCACAGACTTACATTGCAAATTGATGCATATAAATAAAGTGTATTATGTATGTGTAATTTTTACAAATGAAGACATTTCTCAGTGTCTTCAAATGGAGGTTCTGTCAGATTTAACTCTCTTTTTGGGACAAATCTGAACCTGAAATATGGTACAGTAGTTCCAAACACACAGTGTTGGTGTTTTGTTGAGCATGTCTGTCTCTCATTAGTCAGGGCTGCTGTAGACATAAACACTGAATGAATGACGCCACTCATCAGCTAACGACAAACTCATTAATCACACACACTTTCTCGTCATGTCATGATCTGAGCGTCTCTGCTTTAATCTGATCCCAATACAAACATTGTCTCATCACAGCAACACAACACTGAACAAACATGTGCTTAGAAAATCATCTGTGAAACCTTTTTAATCTGTAAAGAACCATAAAGCAACTCATGCATTTCTGATGTAAATAACAAATACAATGAGGTTCTATCTATCTATCTATCTATATGTATCTATCTATCTTATAATCTATGTATCCATGCACTTACACTGCAGGACTTAACGCACAGATCTATTTTGACACATTTTAGTTTTTTCTGTTGCTATGGAATTTATTATTATCATTTATTTTTATGCAGTGGAATTAGTTGCAATATCAAACATAGATTCATTGCCACATTTTAATACTGTCTTCACTGCCAAAACTTAGCAGTGTGTACATAGCAGCATGAAAAATAAAACGTTTAGTCAAATTATGAATAGTTATATGTACAGAACTCGAGCAAAGACCACTTAATTTAAAATCAATGAAGCTGACATCACTTCAGTTCAGTCGCAGCACAAGCTCACTGAGTGAAAACTCATACAAATCTGTGTATATTGCACAATTAATCTCTTATTTACATTGCTATACTTTGTTGACTTTAGAAGAACGACTAGCAAGTGTGTAGTGCGTATTCTGATTTACACGCCTCTGATTGGCCATGACTCATCAAACACGTCTGTGATTGGCTACAATCGCTGCAAAACACGCTGTAAATAGAAACCGCTGACGCTCTTCATGGAGCGTTTCAGATCGATTCAGATTTGGTACTACCTGCGGAAAGGCTTCACATTTTTACATGTAATTATTCACATGGAAAATAAAACTTGTATTCAAATTATGAATGGGTAATAAAGAGAAAGTGAGTATAAAGCGCTCCCTTTATAATCAGTGAAGCTGATATCACTTCAGTTCACCCGCAGTAAGTGAAAACTCGTGTTGTAATAAAAAAAAATCTGTCTATACTGCACAATGAACCACTTATTAGCTATGTATATAAAAAAGTGCTGTCAAACGATTAATCGCGATTATTCGCATCCAAAATAAAAAATGTTGTTTACATAATATACGAGTGTGTACTGTGTATATTTATTATGCATATATAAATACAAATACATGCATGTATATATTTAAGAAAAAATATGTTATGTTTATATATTAAATATATTTATATATAATATAATATAAAATGTAAATATTTTCAAAATATATACTCTATGTGTGTGTATTTTTATATACATAATAAATAAACAAAAACTTTTATTTTGGATGCAGTTAATCGCGATTAATCATTTGCAGCACTAATATCAAATGTTTTTATTTATATACACTATCTCTTATTTTTTTGTACTTTTATAGAGTGGTTTGTAGCGAAACAATTCGTGAGCGCGCAGAACAAACTGGCAAGCTGAGCGGATTCTGACTTAAACGCCTCTGATTGGACATCGCGTTCACACGCTCAACAGAAACCTCTGTGATTGGCTACAATTCTCAACTTGGCAAAACATGTTTGCTGCATCCAAATTTGCATACTATCCGTCCTAAATAGTATAAAAAAATAGAATTAGTATGTCCCAAATCACAGTATGTTGAAAAGAGTATGCCAAAGATTCCCGGATCGTCTACTACTTGAGATTAAAATTCGAAGTGCAGATCGATGCACACTCTAACAGATAATATTGCCCACAACACATTACGCGGTGGACGAGGTTAAGGCTAGAACGGAGACAGCTCTGGCTACTGGGCATGCGCACATCAATATAGTGTAATTTTTGTCACACTGCACAATAGGGATGGGCGATATAGGATTAAAAATACATCGCAATAATTTCTGGTATTTTTTGCGATAATATCAAAGATGATAATTCAGGGAATTTTATGCATCCACTAAGAGACAAACATTTTAAAAACTGTTTCTTTAGAGAAAAGTCTTATCTTTCCTGTTTTTACCCTGGTGTTGTGAGCATTACTGCGTACACATATAATGTAATGACTATTTAATTCATACTGGAAGCCAGAGGGTGCTCTTGCGCAGAAACTCCACACATGCATCACAGAAGTAATTGCACTGGCCCGGTACTGCGGAACAGAGTTTGGACTTGGTAGCGAAGCACCACTTTTGACTAAGAGTTTGTGTGTTTGTTCTCTCGCAGTTCGGCTGCAGCTCCAGGCCACAGCCGTCGGTGAAGTGGTGATCAAAGGGATCTGCGCGAACCGTTACCTCGCCATGAACGCGGACGGACGACTGTTCGGAACGGTGAGACGCTCTCATTATCTAACAGCTCTCAGGCTTTACCTAATTAATACACAGTGCTGGAGAGTAACTAGTTACATGTAGCTAAATTACGTAATTTAGTTACAAACTAAATGTAATTGTAATCAGTTACAGTTACTGAGCAAAAATGTGTAATTAAATTACAGTTACTTATGAAAATGCTGGAGTACAAAGGGGGTTACTTGCATCTGAATTTGTATTTTTCACACACATACAGATTTAATTGATTTCTTTCATAAATTGCATTGACTGCTCTAAATTATGAGACACCAATGTTTCAGGAGTTTAGGACACACGCTTATTCGATAACTGTTTTATTTCCTATTTGGGTTTATGCATATGTTTTATTTTTTAAGATTAACTGTTTTTTCCAAGGCAGTGTTTCCTGTCATAACTATGCAAAGATTTGATTTCAAAAACAGTATCATAACTATTAAACTATATCTAGTTATGATATTAAATCTGTATTTAACCTCAGAATGATCTCAAAGTAAGTCTGATTTTGTGGTGGCTGTGCTTTAAAATTAAATTATTAAAATCTTAATTCAAATGATGAAGTATTTAGAAAGTGACAGTAATCAGTGTTGAATACTACATAAGGTTAAATCTGCCTGCTTTACATGTTTCAAAATGATTAACAGTTGAAAACATTTGTTAGAAATTTAGAAAAGTAATCAAATGTAATCAGTTACATTGCTTTAATAAAATAATTGAAATAGTTACACTACATTTTAAGTAGGGTAACTTGTAATCTGTAACCTATTACATTTCCAAAGTAACAAATTAGGTAAGTAATTAATTAGGCCTGGGCGATAAAACGGTATCGATATTTATCGACGGTACACCTTCTTCTATAACAATAGAAAAAATGTTCGATATAGCGCACAATATAGGCACGTGCTATGACAGCTCACACAAACACGAACACATGCTGAAATGAGTGCTGTGCCTGCCTGTGATGAGGAGATTGTGAATAAAAAATGAATATTAGTTGAATTTAAAATAAACATTTGCATTTGAATGCAAAAATAGTACAATCAAATGTTAGGTGTGCGTCAGGGAGCGTCATCAGTGGCGCACGAGATGCAGTGATGATGATGTGAGTGACGTTTTTGCATTTTAATGTTTTGTTAGTCTAGCCCACGAGACGCGCAGTTGCTGAATGAATATTATTCATTCAGAATATTAGAGAAATATAGAAGCTCAATGTGGAGAAAATCTTGAATGGGTTAAAACCGAAACCAAGCCATTCACACAGATGCATATTCAGCGCTTATGCTTTTAAATGCAATCTGTGTGAATGGCGATTCGGCACTTTGGATTAAGCAATACATAAATACATGATGCTGTTTTGTTCATAATTGTTTATGCAATTTACGAAATTATATTTGATTTATATGAGTGGTTTTTTATAGACAGTTATTTCCTTGCGTTGACAATTTAATGCGTTGCATTATTTTGCTCATTGCGCCCTCCTGTGGCCTATTTAATCTGCATATAAAACATTAGAAATTAGATATTTGTTTAATTTTTATTTTGTGTTTGACTGTTAAAAAATATATTTGTTGTTTGTCTCGATAAATTGGGTTAATTTAAAAATACAGTGGTTAAATTAAAAAAAAAATCTATTGCTCTTTGTTTTAAAAAAGTTTATAAAAAATGTCAATAATTATCGATACTGAACGATATGAAACATTATATCGTTGATACACTTTTTTAGCTATATCGCCCAGCCCTATAATTAATACATAACTGCTACCTGTGTGCATATTTGGGAGGTTTATGTGACGTCAAGTCAAATTTATTTATATAGCGCTTTTCACAATACACATTTTTTGAAGCAGCTTTACAGAAATCATCAAATCAGTATATTAATTTATTCATGTCTTTAGCAGATTAGAGCTGGATGGTAATATACAGTAGTTTACATTTTGCAACTATAAAACCAATCAAGCCCTTGAGACTTATGACCTCATATTAATTAAGAGACTGCATAAATAAAAATATATATTCATATTTTATTCATTCATTTGTTACACTGCAGGACTATTCCAGTGAACTGTAAAAAAAAAATTAAATTAAATGAAACTTAAAAGAAATAATGAGTGACTGGTTACAGAACCTGACAGAAGCCAATACTTCTGTCATGGCACATCTTGAATAATCTGAAAAATACTGACACACACACACACACACACACACACACACACACACACACATAGGCGTAATGGTTTTTATACTGTACAAACTGTATGTGCTATCGCCCTACACCAACCCTACCCCTAAACCTACCCCTCACAGGAAACTTTGTGCATTTTTACTCCTCAAACAATGCTTACATTGATGACGGAGGTGTTGCACAACAGTCAATGAACATTTACTCCAGCTCTCCTTGTTCAAAACTCACGAGAGGAAACATCAGCGTCGGCTCTAGAATGAAAAATTTCACTTGACGCCATCAACCACCTTCATGTATATGATTAAAAATAAAGGTTTCAAAAGGCTGTTTGCAGCAAAACCATAGAAGAACCATTTTTTACATTGCAAAAATTATTTTTAATCAATAGTTCTGTCTTGTTTTCTAGTACAAATATCTAAATATTCGTAAGATACATTTACTAGAGGAGCAAACTTAAGACATTAAGTTTTGTTTTCTGAAAAAAAAAAGAGCGAGTTTTGTTTCAAACAAGAAAAATGATGCCAGTGGGGTAAGAAAAACAAACTTGTTTTCCTTTTGGATTAAGTTTATTTTTCTCACCCCATCGGCTGATATGTTTTATATATGATTTACTATATATATATATATATATATATATATATATATGATATACTATATTTTACTTTGATAATGTTTTTTATTTAATATTTTGTATTTTTAGGGGATTTTATGGTACTAAATTATATTTATGCCGTAGTTATAATCCATTTTTTACCTAGTAGCTACTTTTTGAGCGTAGACCTGAAAATGAAATTATTTAATCTTTTTTTTTTTTTCTGAAATTTTGTCACTATTTATGAAGAAGATATTTGGCAGATTATTGCCGCAGTGGGAAAAAAAAAAAGTTAATGTGAAAAAAAAAAAGTTATGGAAGTTAAAATTTCATTGTTATGAAAAATGCACAAAAATAGTAATTTCTGATTTGATATGAAATATACATTTTCCAAAAACTTGTTTTTCTCTAAAACTGCTAGCAAATCAAAGCTAGAAATCTAATGAAGTTGTGTTCCAAATTTGAGGTTGATATCTCAAAAAATGAGCATTCAGTAAGACTGTTTGGGTGCAGTACCAAATGTTTCCACCAGATGAAATTAGCTTCTCTTTCATTTCCAATGCGGTCATTTTTGACCACAAAAAAAACAGTACAAGAGTGACTTTTTTTTTTTCCAGGACCATTTAACCTTCTCGAATCATGTCCATGTTTTGTGTGTGTTCACATAGCAAGTGCCAAACCCTTTACCGGGTTTTGTACCATTCTGATAAAGTAAAAAAATATATAAAAAAACTACAGTCTAAAATTTTTCAGTCAAAACTAACCCAAGAGTGTCAGAGGTTTAAATATTTGCACTAAAAATTAAGACAAAAATACAAAGTAAGAATAATTTTTTGCATTGTGGTTCCTCAAAGGACCTTTCAGCAAACAGTTCTTAAAAGAACCATTTTTTTTCTAAGTGTGAAGAACATTTTAATAATATAAAGAATCTTTTTACACTGTAAAGAACTTTGGAAAGTTTCCACGGATGTTAAAGTTTCTTCATGTAGCCATCAATAGGAATTATTTTTAAAAGCATAGAGACACATTTACTCTTGTTTAATATCCTGTTTTAATCTGAAACACTCCGGCTGAAGCTGCTCGGGAATACAGAGAATATTCCCCTCATAGACGGCAGTGTTTCACATGTTGTTGCGGATAATAGATGACAAACACGAATGGTCCAGCACAGTTTCACTGCTGTAGCTGAAACAAGACTCCATAGAAAGAAAACAGCTGAGGTTTGAGCTGCAAAAATCTGAGAGAGCATTGAAAATCTGGAAACAGAGAGTTTTAAGATCAAATCTTGCTGGAAAACATGATCACCAGGTTTAGTGCATGTAGCTGCTGTCATTAAAGCAGAGAAAACACACCAAATACTAAGAAAATGCATTTTTAATTGAACTGTTCCAACTTTTACCAGTTGTTACGCCGATTATATATTTAATAGTGAAAACAGGTATTAAAAATGCAAAATTGCATAAATGTACAATTTGAGCTACAATTATGCATGTTAATGTTCTCGTTAGGTCTCAATTAAAATTTTAAAACGGCAAAGCTTATTAACTTTTTTTGTCAAGCTGATTGTATATTTTTTGTGAAAAATGGTATTTAATACTAAAAGATGTAAATGTACAATTTGAGCTACAATTATGTGCGTTAATATTGTCATTAGTGATGAAGGTCTCTTAATTAAACTTTTCGAACTTCAAAACCTAACTTTACCTATTGTTAAGCTGATTATATGTTTTGTGCTAAAAATATTACTTTTAATGCTAAAAGCGCAAAACAGAAGTAAATGTACAATTCGAGCTACAATGATGTGCATTAATGAAAGACTAATGACAATTAAACTTCAAAACGTTTTAACTTTTACCAATTGTTAGGCTTATGATATAGTAAAAAATAGAGATATTTAATGCTGAAAATCCAAAACAGATATAAATGTACAATTTAAGCTACAACGACTTGTCTTAATTATGATGAAGGTCTCTCAGTTAAATTTTTTCGAACTTCAAAATGTTTTACTTTTACCAATTGTTATGCCGATTATATATTTTATATTGATAAATTTTGTATTTATTAATGTTAAAATTGCAAAACAGAAGTAAAAGTATAATTTGAGCTACAGTGATGTGTGTTAATGAGACTTTCATCAGTGTTGGGGGTTACAAGTAATGCGAGTTACGTAATCAGATTACTTTTTTGAGTAACTAGTAAAGTAATGCATTACTTTCAAATTTAAAATGAAATATGAGTTGCTTTTTCAAATAAGTAACGCAAGTTAATTTGTTTTCCCATTTATTCACTGAC